CAGCGCCAAACACTGCTACTGGGGGAGGCCGCGGATGGGGCGACCACGCAGACCAGATCCTTTGCCAGCGACTTTTTGGAGGGTGCGAAGACCAGATCCTTAGCCAATGGCAACCAGTTCCATTGGCCAAACCCTTTGGCCCGTCCGATTTCCGGAACTCGTGCCGCTTACACACAAACAGCATGAAAGCCGATGGTACAAGTCGGATTCTCATTTTGGTCACTGGGCATCCTCTCCTAAAGGAGTTGCGCCATCTGCTTTTCACCCTAACTCTTGGGCTTTTCTTCCGGGAATTCCAGAGCTTTGGGTCAAAATTTCAACCCACCACAAAACAAAACCACAGGAATCTTCGTCCTTTTGGACCCACGGGGTTGCCCCAAATCAGATCCACAGGGGGTGGCTCAAATCAGATCGTCTCGACCCAAGGACTTGACAAGGTACACGCGCGGAGCCTGGACGAAGCTTGGCCGCGAGTTTGCAGACCCCCGGTTGGGTTTTTGCTTGGTTTCTTTCGTGTGTTCCATAAAAAGAAGGAACTGGAGGAAGCCACGATGAAGAGTGCAAAGTCGTTTTCCAGATTTGTGAAGATGGACGTGGAAGGCTTTGAGACGGAAGTGCTGAAGGGTGCAAGGCAGACGCTGCGCAGGGCAGACTATCTCTTCATCGAAGTATGGCCTGAGGCCCAGGAGAAACAGAACTGCACTCCTGGGGATTTCCTGGGAGAGCTTGAGGACTTCCCCCATGCCTACCACGTGGACTTTGATCTTCGAAGCACTGAAATTCAGCTGCAAGCGTTGAATCTCTCCGGCTGGAGCAAGTCTTGGAGCGAGAAGAGCCGGTTTATGCCGCATGGTTTTTCCAGGGGCACATTTTTGCCTTGTGGTCGGTGCTTTTGACCTTTCTATTTTCATTTATCAGGGGGCCTCTTACTTCTCAAAACCACTGAGGCCTTACCGCTCAAATATTGACGTCCTGTTCACTAAGCAGCCCCTTCGAGTGGCCTCCCAGCGTTTCGCTCTCCATCTACAAAGGCTGGAGCGTGTCTCCGTGTTGCCAGGGATCAAAGAGTGGAGCTGATGGCGCGAACGGAGGAACGCGTCGCTGCCCTGACGGTGACCATGACCACGATGGCGGTGGTGGAGGTGGTGGGGGTGGTGACATTCCCAGTCCACGCGGAGTCGTAGCATTTTGTGGAAGCTTATGGAATCATCATGATCAGCTCGGATTTTTAAGATCCGCCTGGTCCGGAAGGCTCCCAAGTTGCACTGCAGAGTGCTTTTCGCATCCAGACCAAGTCTTGCGTCCGCCAAAAGCCTCGGGTTTTAGGGGTACCCTTTTTCAAGGTTGGTTCAAAGGCAAATCAAACGGACACTGCCCGGTATTTTTGTATCTTTGTTTTGCTTGGGGGGGTTGCTATTTTGACGCCTACCGCATACCCGTTTAAAGTATTGCTTCACTTATGACTTTGATATTGCGATTTGCATGTCGCCCGCATCAAAGGCCATGACCCTGCGTGTGGGCCTCAGATTTGCGCCGCAGCTGCTAGATTCAGCGCTCCTGAAATCAACGACCCGATGGCTCGGTTGTTTGAACCAGGGACACTGACCCTCCCCCCCCCCCACCCCGTGTGTTTGAGCCATCCTCCTTCGGGCCATTGGATTTTTTGGGGTTTGAGTCTGCAACATGATCTCTACGTGTCGAGTTAGACGAAGTGTCCGCTCCCCTCAGAAATGGGTGTGGGGGAAGCTTTCTGGAGGGTACATTTGGCCGACTTTCAGGGATGCAGTTCGAAGCAAGTCGTTGAATTCCAACCAATGAATTTCATTCCTTTTAGGGGGAAGCCAGCAACTTGGGGTCGGGTTGCCCCCGTCTTGGGGTCCGCGAAAGTGGACTTGTCCTGTGTGCCGTGCCGTTTCTCAGGTTGCACCAGTGGCTGAACGCCGCCATCAAGGGCGCGCAGCCAAGGAAGACGCCAAAAGGGAGTCCAGTTCATCAATAACTTCACCTTCCCGTTGCTGAAATGAAGATGGTTTCATTTCCCTTTTTGGTTTAAAGGGAATCGATTTCGCTTCTGGACATGTTTTTTCTCTTTTTTCGCAGGGGGCTCAAGCAAATGAAAGTCACCGCTGTTGGCATGCTTTTAGTTTGGGTTTTTGGCTCTGTTCATTTGTGGCAGCGGGCTGCAATAAAGAGTTCTTTTTTTTCTGTTCACCTTTAGTAGGGGGCTGCAAAAAATAGACTTTTTTTGCTACCTTACTCGGTTGGGGAAAAAAAACACGATTCGGGACGGACATTCAATAGTGGTTGATGGACACACATTCCCATGTAAATGATGCCCAGAAGGTCCCCGAGCAAAGCTCATTCTCACCTAGATGTTTTCAGGTTAGATTTTGAAACATCTCTTAGTCGATTGTTCGGACCATGTTGAAAGGGGCTGCATTGTCCACAGTCAATCTCCCAACTTTTATGGTTTGTGTTAGATCACCAGGCCCCAAATTCCAAGCCGGAAGCCCAAAGGAGTCCCGGATTTCGGCAGGCAGGCCCGGGATGTCTTAGGGAAGCCCCAAAGTGGGCTCCATGAGCTTCTCGCACTGTCCACCCACTTGTGGATTCCAGCGAAAGTCAAGAACTAGACCTGGCTTGAATGTTGCCAGAGCCAAGCGGGTCTGTTTGAATTGTTGCGAAAAGGATGCCATGACTCCTTTTGTCCAAGAGCAAATGTATATGGGAGCGCCTTTTTTGAAGGGTACCCTTTTTGGTTGGTTTGACAGGGACACCAAAAACAGCCGAAGCCGTTTTGAGGGCCAGGAAAAGAGACACCCTATGCATGCACCCCTATGGTCGCTCCAGCCAGTCACGTTTCAGCGAGGCAAATGCACGCCCGGCCACTTCCCTGATCCCAAAGACCTCAGGCGGATCGGATCCGCTTTCGGATCCGCTTTCGGCCGATCCGGGGTGGCTTCGGATCTTCGCGCGAGCAAGTTTTCACACCAACTTGGGTTTTCAAGGGCCGAATAGAAGACCATCTTTTTGGTTCAAGGGACACATTCGTGATGCGAGCTCTGGAAGAGTTTGTGGCTCGCGGCAAGATTTGGCAGCCATTTGTGACAGACATGTCTGGAGGAAACATTGCAGATGGTCCACTCTGAAATCACAGAAAGATGCCCTGTTTTGTACATTAGGTTTGATCAACATATCCAGATGGTCAGTTTGAGAGGGATATTGCAGGGCTCGCTAAATTTCCACCAAGATCAGGGAAGTTCACCTCTTTCTCCCAAAACCAGGGTCAGGAAGTCTCCAAGGTTAGAGGGTGGCCAGCAACGCCCGCCATTTAGCAATGCCCGCCTGTTCGAAAACTGTGACAACGGGAATAACAAACCAGCCGACCTTTTGTAAACACCTTCAAACGTGGGAAACACCCAATTCTGTGAAGTTGAGTCGTTGCTATCTTGATGCTGGACATTCAGTTCGCACTTGTCGCTATATCAATGCGCGGAGGTGCACGCCAGAGACGGAGAGCGCGATCAGGTCGGGGGTCGGGCGGGTTTTGGGGGCGTCCAAGGGTCTTCTGAGAGGCGGCGACTCCAAAGCTTGGGTTCTTCGGGCAACGTTCTCATGGCGGCATTGGGTGGTTCCCTGTTTTTTTGGGAACCCCCCATCAAGCTGTACAGGGGCTACCTTTTTTGAGGGTATGCCTTTTTTGGTTGGTTCTTAAAAGGAAGCCAAAAACGACGACCATGATTTTGGGGGTGCCCAAAAAAGACACGCTACCTTGGTTCCGGCGGGCTGTTTCTCATGGCTGACGTTGGTCTTGGCACGGCTCTCGCCGTGCACGTCTGCACACGTACGCATAGATACACACGCAGAAATCCTCACGGCTTTCCACACACGAAATACTTTGCACTCTTTACTTTTTTGAACCGCCGCCAGGAGGAGCTCCTGTGCCAAGACTTTGCACAAATGCAGATGTGGACATTTGCGCCCGTGCACATTTGCGCCCGTGCACAGATGCACGTATGCACAATTGCACATATTCACTCATTCATGCGCGCACACACACACACACTCGAAATTATTGCTGTGAACAATCTCATTTGTATACAGGATAAGCACACACACACACACACACATGTATCCGTATCTACATATGTACTTGTATCGTATCGTTGGTGCCCTTTGCCACACGTTTTGCCGCCTGCGTGGGCTGCCTTGCCATGCTGGCCCAATGACCCAAGACCTTTCGGACTGCATCCACGTTGCTCCAAAGGCCAGGCACTTCCCTCACCACGTGATTTGTGCGCCCTTGCAACAGCCGCCCGTTGCACAACATCTTGTCCCCGTGGAGCACTTTTCAGGAACGCGAACGCGTCCAGAAGGAAACTGACGACGGTTTTGCTTGCAGCGCACACAGGCCGTTGGCTGCGCTTGCAACTCAATAATGCAGGTGCATTGGAAAGACTGAGTTTTGAATTGAAAGGTCCGAACACCCTCATTCTCGCCCAAGGGGGTGGGGGTGGGCGCAACGTATATAGTATAGGGTGAACCCGGATGGTTGCGACCTCCGTTTCGCCCACAAACAATGGTTTCCACCATGGTTTCATTTCGTGGTGCAGGATTTTGTCCATCCCCAGTATAGCTAACTTGTTCCTACAATAGTCTCTCAAATCGAGCGTCGCAATCTCACCCGGGAAATTGCAGGCGGTCCGTTGGGTAGTTTTGGGTAGACTGGAATACCAGGCTTTGAAGATGAATGAACCGGTTTCAGAATTCCCGTCGAGTCACCAAGTCACCAACCTATGGGAGGGGAACATTGGGGTGTATAAGCCCATCTCCCCCCCCGGGTGGCTTTCTCAAAATCAGGCAGCCTCCAGTTGACTGGTTTCCTTTCAGTTTCCCTTTGAACCAGCATGGCAGCCGGCAACCCTGTTTTCAGACCGAAGCTCGCCTCGAGGCAGATCCAGCGCTGTGCTGCGCTGGTGGAGGGGGCCTCAAAGGCTTGATCTGCCAGAGCGTGGGTGTCCAAAAGCCGGGGACCTCTTTCGACCGTTTCGAGGCTCATGTAGTGAAGGTACAATGAAACAATTCTTGGACCTTCAATGTGCTGCCGTGCATGTATACTGTATATTTTTCACATTTTGAAGGTTCGCCCATTTCGGCTACCTCCAAACATGGCATCAAATCGTTGGAATTGTCTTTGTTTCGCAGTTTTTGAAGGGTCCCGAAACCGAATTCCACCCAACGTATGAAGTGCAAACACATGGCAAATATTTGGGTGCAAGCGCATCCGGAAATTGCCCCCCCTTACGGCTGGTTTCCTGACACATCAAGTCCCGATGGCGCGGGCGCCCCCTCTTTGGGCATGCAATGCGCTCGAAAACCGCCGGATTTCAGAGATGCAGGTGCATGAAAGTGCCACTTCTGAATATCCAATGGCGCCCCTTCGTCAGCAAGCAAGCGTTGGTTGCAACTTTTAGGGCCAGTCAATGAATCGACGGCTTCACGAGTTGGACTTGCTGGGCAAAAGGGTCGCTCTTGCAACCTTTTTTGCTTGCAGGGAGCCAACAGGAGCTAATGAGTGGTGGGTTAGTGCCTTGTGGATGTGCCTGGCGAGAGCTGGTGCATGGGTATTCCATGGGAGTTTCCAACAATGCCTTTTGATTTGTATTCGAAAGAGAAGCCACCAGGGAACCCGTTGTCGCCTTCAGTGGGTCTCACCCAATCAGCGGACTTCCCTCAGAAATTCATCTAGTTGCCATTAAAAGGAGGTTGTCGCCCTGAGGGGACGACTCCCCGTTTGCCTTTTGGGGAAGCCCATCAACTGCCATGCTTGATGGTATGCCGGTATAGTTCAACATGGAGCGCAGTTGCAAGCCAAGCAGCCCAGCATGCTTGCCGACGAAAGACGGCCCCGTTTGATGCTAATTTGCAAAAGAAGACGGCCATTTGGTAAAATGCTGTAGAATGGAATGTTTTCCGGCCATGCCGCAGTCGCGCCGAAAGGGCGTTGGCGACGAAGAATGCCACGGACCAGCGGCCATTGCTCAGCTTTGAGAAACCTGGCGCATCGTTCCTTTTGCAGACCTGATATGAAAGAAAAAGGGCATTGGCCGCGTGTGCCTGTGTCATGGCTCCGCGTTCCTGTGATCTATAGTTCACCTTTGTGCATCTCCGGCTTGGCTGTCATACGGCTGAGCGACATCTCAGTTTAGCGCACTTTGCGAATGGCAGTGCCTGCAGGGAGTACCGTGGTCTTTTCAGACGCGTCGATCTTGTCTCGACCTCGTGAAATGCATTTCGCTTGTGGGGCTTATGGGGCCGCGAGTTTTCAGAAAAGTGGGGCCCATAGGGCTTGCCCACAGCCACTGCACAGGGGCCACTACAAATTCTTGGTGGCTAGTCCCCGCTTTGAAGGCCGCCCAGGCCACCTCTGCGTCACATCCTTGAGAATTGCCACCGATTCGTGTGAACCGATTCGCGTTCCTTCACTCCTTGGTTTCATCGTAATTCGTGAGGCCTTGAGCTAAAGCAGGATTCGCGCAGGGACTCCTCAAATCGAACGTTGATCGATTTACTGGTGGTTTCCCAATGAAATGAGCGCCACTTTTGGAGGTTGTAAGAAGGAACATGGAGCCGGCTTGCCGGAGAATCTCCTGGATTTCGGCCGCCTTTGCATGCACACCACGCCATTCATTTCGCCCCATTCCGCTCAAGAATGTGACGCCGTGGTGCCAGCCCTGCCGCAGAGTCGACAAGGGGTGGCCAAAGCAGTACCCACGTGGTATACAGCTCTCGCGGCCCGTTTCGCAAATTAAGCCCCAAGATTCCATGGTGGTGGAATTTTCTTCTTTTCGTTTCAGGTGGCCACTTTCGGCCATACCAAGGGTCTTCAAAAAGCATGTGGTTGGGGCTGGATGCAAATCTCAGTGTCACAGGAAGGGTTCTTTTCCACGACCATGGGAAGATTCTTGCGGTGCTGGCTCCAGCTAGCAAGACCCAAAATACCACGGGCCCCGAGCGACCACAAACGCAGTCCGCTTAAAAGACGAAAGAACATCCTGAAATGTGAAGCGTTTTGGGTTGGGGACCCGAGCATGTTGAACCACTGAATCTTGGGAATCCAACATCACCTCGTTGGCATTTGGAGATGAGTTGCCTTTGTTGGATGTGGGAAATGTAGGACTCTGATTCTCATCGGCCCCTCTTACCCCTTTTGGAGTCTTCCGTTTGTTGCTTCTCGCGGGCCCACTGGACAAAATTGCGCGCATTTAATGCGCTCCAGGAGCTTTCTTCAGGAAAGGCTCCGGCTGCTTTTTTGTGCGAGGTCAGTCCCGATCGCCCAAAAGTGCTTCGCGATGGATGGGATGCTGCCAGCCTTATCGAGGGGGTCGAAAGTCTATCCTCAAGCTGGCAAAGAAAGGGGGGGCTTTGAACCTGCGCTTTTCCAGGACTCTGAGAAAGAGTTCTCCCAAAAGCAGGGTGGGTTGCAACATGCCCATTGACCAGACAGACTGAAAGGTCTCTTTGGAAACAAAGATGTTGTTCAGGTTCCACTCCGCTGTCCTTTCAGCCATTCGATTCGCATGCTGGCAGAACGGCAGATCTCTGTAGTCAGATCTTGGAGATCAGTATCGGCTGATGCCCTGAATCTGTGCTCACTTAATCTGAGAATTACCCCCAAGTTGCAGGACGCTGCCCATCATGGGCGCTTCGGGAGGGGCGGGGGAGCAACTCCTTTATCTAGGGCTTATTTTGCGTATGACAAATCCACACCCTTAACTAACCTGAGAAATCCCCAACTCGCCGCGTTTCGGCGCTGGGGGGGGGTGCTGGGCGGCAATTCAGAGGTTCGGGACTTGTCCCTGCGATCTGTTTTGGGCAAACCGACTGGCCCATCAATACACGTAACATGACTGGCAGTCGATTCTTAACAAATGGGGAGGAGCATGGGAACCCTCCGAATTTTTCGGCCAACGCCCACCCAACTTCCCATAATATGTCCTCTTGGGAATCATTTTTCTTGCTTCCCAAATAATAAGAAATGGAATGACCCCGACCATCCATCCGCTTTGGGTTTCCTCTAGTCGGGAATTTTACAATCCCCAAGGTTCATTCCCAAATCCTGGGAGTCATTCCCTATCGCCCCAGGGATGCATGACGTGCCTCAGAGGGCCATGGTGAGGGCCCTGGGGCTGTCTCATTCGCTTAGATGGGTGCACACTCCCAAGCTTCGGGCTTCTTTTCTTGGTTTCCCTTTGATACGAAAAGGGGGCGGGTTTCACTTGACACCGCCAATTTGTTTGAAGCACCTGGTGATTGGTAAAGGCGAACTGGATTTCTGGTCACTGTTCGGTTGCAGTTTCCCAGTTGGCTCCCCATACTGTGGATGGAACCATGGGAAATCATTATTTGCTGGTATTTACAGGGGAATCCTCATTCCAGGTTGTTTTGTGTGTTGCAAGTTTTCGTTCATCCATAGTATTGTCCATTTCGGCGTGTTGCTTTGTCAATCCTCCGAGCCATTTTCAAGTGAAGGTCTGAAGATCCTCGAAGGGGGACGATGGTTCAGGAAGAAAAGGGCCCCTTGACCGCGTCAGGATCCACTCCTTGCAGCGCTTTGTGGCTTTCGGGCGGGGAGAGCGGCTGGAATTTCTGTGCAGCCATTTTTCGCCCGGGAAACGCGGTCTGCGGACAAGTCCAGCCCAGGCACAACGCTGGAGTGGTCGATGTGGTTGTTTTTCCAATTGGATTCCCATCTGCTTTTCCCTTGAAGCCAACCAGGGGGTCGAAAATGGGGACGCTTCACTGGTGAGTCATGAATCAGGGGTGCCGCGGTCGGCGTTAAATGCACAGGCGCAACCCATTTAAAGAAAAACACATTCTTGGGAGAGGTTCTTAGCCTTCTCGTCCCGTTTCGCCTGGTCGACTCGTCGACTGATCTCAGTGTGTGTCCCACACCAAAACGTCCGGGGACTTTGGACTTTGGATGTTTCAGCATGATGCTTCTTTGACATTCTGTTGGGGGCATTATGTGTCCTTTGCTGACATTTGTTGCAGCAGCGCGTCCATCATTTGTGCCTTTTTGCAGCCTGGCGTTCAGCCTCACTTGATCTGTTAAGGTATTAGCCTTTCAAGGAGTTATTTGAGCTTCCGCAGTATTCAGCTCATTCTTTGGCCTTGCCTTTTTCGGCCTAGTTTCGCACCCACCAAGTCTTCTCCGGGGCTCAGTTGAAGGCTGGTTGACGCGTTGGCTTCATTTCGCGAGCCCTTGGCGTCGGCGCGTGCTTTCTCACTTTGGGCAAATGCCAACCCTCCCGAATTGCACCTGAACAACGGTCCCTTCCCGCCGTCGAGGGGCCGGCCTGGTTTGCCTCAAGTTCACGAGCTTTTCGTGGGTTCATGTCCCAAAGCGAGTCGACCTTTTCTCACCTTTTTCTCAAGCTTCCGGCCTTTTCTCTTGCGGGAGGGTTCCCTTTTTTTTAAATTCTTTTTTGTTCTGGCTTTCCCAGGCAAGGGGAGGCTCTAGTTGTGAGAAACAAGTAGAAAGTTGGGGTTCTGCCTGCGGGGGTCGTGGTCTTTGGAGCTGCCAATTGCGGCCATTTCCAAGCCATGTTTGAGCGGAATCAGTAAAGTCGCAGGGAGCCCCGACTTCCGACCATCGTTTGTTTTCCTTGGCATGGTGCAAAAGGTGGCCACCTTCTATTTCCAGGTTTGCTCGTTGAGATGTAGCCGTTGGTTAGAGGGTGCTGGAGATGTGTTTTTCCTAGGTACCTTCCAACCATCCATATTTCCGTTTGAGAGGTGCCTAATTTCTAGCATTGCGAAAGCTCAACATTAGGGACCTTTCAGCGTTCTGCGCTGCCAAACACAATGAGAGGCCCTGATATTCAGACTCCTGGCAACGGGACCTCTCAATGACTTGGGCTGTCAGATGCTCAAAGCAGGGCGAGGTCCGTAAACCCTACTTTTTGTTGATGTCTTTGCGGGGAGGATGCCAGAAGAC